AGTGTCATTTTGGTAATTATTATTCAGAGAGAAACATCTGTGGCACAGTGCCTGTGAAAATGATGATTATCAACCATAAGCAGATATGACAATTCACTTCAGAAATTATTTTATTGATCTCTGGAAAATTGCATTTACTTTCCAAAATAAACAAAATTGTTTGCTTCTGGTAAATGGTGAAAAACACTTCAGCTTCTTTGTGAACAGGAAGGGCAATCTCCTGGGAGAATGAGTCATGAAAACATTAGTATAGTTCGAACTTACTGTTCTGCAATTCCATTATTTTAATTGTTAGGATTTTTGATATCCAAATGGAAGCATTCATTACACTGCTTTTTTATCTTGGGGATGGACAGGCTATTAAAATAAAAATCTTAACCCAAATCTGTTTTAGCTAAGCATACTTTAGCTAGCTTTAGGTCATAAAACCCATATGAATGCAAGTTGCAAATTAATCTTTTATTAGCTTCTTTATTATTCTTTTATTGATTTCATTTTATTAGCAGGTGAAGTGTTGGTGCAATGGTAAGGTGTGTAGCCTCAGGAAAGAACATATGCAGTCCTTTTGGGATGCTTCAGCTTGTGGATTTCTTGGCTCATTATTGGCACTGTGCATTGCTAATATTGAAGAGCTTACATTTTCCTTTCATCAGACTTTTCGCTCTCTTTTTATTTATTTAGTTGTGAGCCAGAAAGCAGCAAGACCAAAGAAAATGAGATATGATAATAATTAGAGGGGCAGATCAGTCATAGGAGCAGTGCTGGGGGAAGAGCGGGGGATTAGGCATAAAGGCCCATCAGTTACTGTCATTGCTTTGATTTCCTGTGAGAATGACTTTAATGGCTGTTGTAGTATGATTTTTAATTAGAGTGCTTTTAGCTGTGGAAAACTTCACATAGGTTTTCACGTTTTAACAGAAATGGAAAATTTGGATTTTTGCACAGCTGTGTGTCAATGCAAAAAGAATGCTTGTCATTCCCAGTGTTGAATCTCAAAAAATTCTGCAAAAGAGGAGTCAAGTATTTGGCTGGGACATAGGTGTTGACAATGTGCTGTAAAATTCAAAAGTGCCTGAGGGGCTGAGTGTGCAATTCCTGGAGAGTCGTCTTCTGGTAGTGACAGGAAGAAGCTGTCAGAAGGAATTGGATGCTTCCCCCATTTTCTTGGATGCAGCAGGCACAGTACTCTGCTGCTGTTCTCTGTGACAGTGGAGGAGGGGAGTCCAACTTGAAAAGGTTTTGAGTGGTTCCAAAAACTGCCATTCACATGCATACTGGCTGTGACTGATTTTGCAAGTTTTAAGTTGCAAATTTTTATGTTTGCCACGGGTCCTTGCCTAGAGATAGCTTCATGGGTAGCTGGAGGTCCTGGTGCTGAGCTCATTTAAAGTTTGTATGTTACAGATGCCCTCTAAAGAATAGTATCAAATTTAGGTGCTAGAGTATTTATGTTGCGGGCTGGAATTTTCTGGCATGTTGTTTGGAAATGTTGGGTCACTGTAGATGGATGAAGGATGTAAAGGGGAAGAAAACAAAGAGGTGAGGAGACCTTGCTTGCAGACCTGTAGCAGCTGATCACGGACCAATAGATTTAGGGCTGATACTTTGCACAGACCATGTATGTGCGAATTCCAGATTGCCAGTCTCCCTGACTGGATGAGCTCTATAGGACTGGTGACTCTTCTGTGCTGCAGGGGGAAGCAGAGGGCTCTCGGAGACTCACTGGCAGAGGTGGTCTCTCCCTGGAGATCACAAAGCTCCATGCCTTGCCCTACAGCAGAGCTGAGTGTCAAGCACACCAGGCAGTGGATCCATGGGCAGCACTTGCCAGGCTGTGTGCTTGTGTGTGTATTGACTTGGGTTTACCTAGTGTCCCTGTAACAGGACAGTCTTTTTGAGCACCAACCACTACTGAAACTAGAGATGGGCTGGTTTTTTCTGCTTTTCTCTCCCCAAACGTCATGCCCTAAATGACTGTTCACCAGAAGTTGCTGTGAGCTGCTACAACCTTGGCAAAACTTAGGAAAAGCCATCTTAAATGCACTGTGGTCCCACAGTTTGAACCAGTGCATGGATTTTTCCATATACGTTTTGTGTTAGCTTTTGTTACATTCAGATCTATAGCTCTCCCTCAAGAAAATCAAAACATAGTAAAACTTTACCTCTCACAGAATATTGTTTTCTTTTTTTTTTTAAGTGAACCTAATGGGAAAACTCAGTTTTACATGGCTGCTGTTAGCCTGAACAGCAAACTGTTTGATTTGTTAGGATCTGCTTAGGTACATGAAAGTAGCAGCTATGTATTTTTATTGTTGTGATAGTATGATTCTAAAATGTCAGAGTATGTCAAAAGATTTAATTCTAAAACAAAATAAACTTTTATTAACCTAAAAGAGAAGTTGATTTTTCAATTAAAAAACTAAAATTATCTTGTTGTACCTCTACACCCTAAATTTAGTTTAAAGGGTATTCTGATACTAGTCACTTTGAAGAACAAACAATAGTAAAGTATATTCCACTAATATACTCAGAACACCCTTTTTCTGTGGAATATATGTTTGAAAAAGAAAATTCAGTTTCCCTCATCCCCTTCTTTCTCCCAAATATGTTTTCCTCTGGCTCTTATTTTAATTGTAGTTATGTCTAAGCTCTTCCAAATGGAAGATGAATTATAAACCTGGCAACCTTCTGTGCCCTTCTGACAAATTACACCTCGTGCTGCTTTTTTGCCTGAGAGTCAAATCCAGTTTTAATGCAATTGTGATTTATCAGCCAAGGTGGATAATTTTTTAAAAGATGCTTATTATTGTAATCTTATTGGCCATGGTAGCAAAGAATATATTAATTTCAAAAACAGTCAGACCATCATTCTTGGAAGCATTTGTAAATGTTAAATCTAGACCAATAGAATAATAATTATTTCTGTGGGATTAGTAGCTCTTTGCACACTGGCAATGTGATAACCCATTTTTTAAACCTTCAAAAAGTCTAAAGTCTAGTTTTGTGTGGCGGTGACAAAGGGATTGTGTTACTTGTTTCACTCCTCTTTCTTGGCAGTGCCAAATAATCTGCCTTGTCCTTTACAGTCAGTGTGGTGGTAACATGAGGCCTGACTTCAATTGCAGTGTGTCATGGTTTGACCCGGAAGTGGGGTTTTGGGAAGTTATGGTCAAACCAATCAGTGGCCAGATTTCAAATTGACACCTGGTGTGGCCACTGGGGACTTGGATACACCTCTGAGAACACACAGGGGTTAAAAGCAGAGCATTCCCAGAGAGACTTCCTCTTCAGAGTCCAGCAGGTGATCTGATCTGACCTCTCCCCTGCCCAGCTGCACCTGGGTGAGGGAGGGGGAGGCCATGCAGCCTGAGAGAGGGAGAGAACACAGAGTCTTGCCAGATGCAGAGACCGTGTGTGACATGGAAGCACAGAAGTTCTACTGTGTTTCCTGGGGAGGCACGTGGTGCAAGAGGGAGATTCCTCTTTCCTGATGGACTTGGGGGGGGCGGCTTGTGTGAAAGGAGGGTATTGAATTGAGAATTAATATGTTAGAGGGGATTTGAATGTTAGAGGACTGGGGGGAGAAGGAGGGGTGTTTTGAAAGAGTTCTATTGGGGGTTGTTGTGTGGGTAGTTTTTTTTCCTTCCTTTTTGTGTCTATGTAGATTAATAAAGTGTTGTTTTTTCCTCCATTCCCAAGTTAGAGCCTGCTTTGTTCTGTTCCCGCGTCACATCTCACAGTAACCATTTTGGGGAATACACCTTTCATGGGGGCACTGGCACTGTGCCAGTGTCAATCCATGACACAGTGCGAGTTGGAACCTGTTCACCTTGGTTTGAAGATTACCAAAGAATTGCAAAAAATGACATGGAAGGTATAAGAAGAGAGATTATACCCAAGGAATACTTTTGTGTAGGAATACTTTTGTGTAGCGTGCTCAAGAGAAGTACCTCGTGTTGATGGTGACTGTCTTAGCAATGTTGTAGGTTGCCATTGTTATTTGTGCAGGTTATGAAGGAAAGGTGAAAAGGTGTTTTACTCATGGGGCTGTGCATTTTCCTCACAGTCTTAAAGTGCTACTTAATGTTACTCTCTGAATTGGTTCGTGTTTCCTGAGGTAACAGTTACTCTGTTTCAGTTTTAACCTTACAGATGCAATCAACAGTTCAAATAGAAGGGTTTATATTGCACTTTTATATATGATGTCCCATGGTGATCTGGCGCCATCTGAGCCTGATCGAGAACTGGTGTCCTATAGACCTCCAGGATAACTTGTGTTTGAGGTCTGTGGAGAGCAAACTGAGATAGCAACACTGACAGATGGTTAGATAAAAACCAAATGTCCTGACTGATTTTATAGATTGTATGTTAAAAGTATTCATACTGCAGATACCATTGGAGATTTATTTCTGGCCTTTTTTGTATATTGGGTTTATCCCAAGCGTACTCCAAAACGTGTTGATTTCTTGAAGACAAGTTTTGTTTCAAATGTTAATATGTAATTGGTGTGTGGATTGGTCTTGCCAAAATTCAGCCTCCTCTGATGTTGAGAGCAATACTACACTGTTTCAGAAGTTCATCAAATGAAAACTTTAAGATTTTTTTCTTCCTTGCTGTTCGCACCAGTTTGGTGAATTGTAGGTCAGTGGTTTAATGAAAAATACTTGTATTGGCATTGTTGTTATTCTGTTTGCAAAATCTTTCCTAAGCTTTCCTAAAAAGTAGGATTATAAGAACTAAGCAGCATATTAATTTTTATGTAAGAATTTGTGAAGATATTTACAAACACCAATTACAGGCACGCCAAGAAGCAAAGGCAGTAGCTCTAATGTTTCCAAGAACATCTCCTGAGCCATGCATATGGTTTGGAAGGAATAAATCAGTTACACCTCCATATTTAGGTTTGTGAGAAAAGTAGAACAATGCAAATGTATTGCCTGAATTGTAAATTTTTGCTTGTGTAAAGGTTGCTAATATAACAATCCTATTGCTTATTCTAGAGCATCTCATCCTCACGAAGTAGAAGCTCATCTCTGCTGCCGCCTGGGACAACTAATTCTGCATCTCCCAGTGGCCAGAAATACATGAATACAAGTGGGCCAACTGTTGTCACCATCACACATCACAAATCACCTGCAGCTGCTCGAAGAGCGAAGAGCCAGCGATCTGGTCAACTCCATGAAGTCCGAGAGGTAAGAGAGAAACATTTGCTGTTTTGCTGTAACTTGGAAGTGCTTATTTTGCTTCACAATAAGCAATTGAGTCTGACAAGTTAACGATTCTCTTTGTTTCCAACTTTATGATGGCTTTGTTTTGATCCCCTTGCTGAGCAAGTGGTGGGCTTTAGTTCTAGTTCAGCTTCAGGTCAGGTGTATACAGATTTTCTTATGCTGATGTTAAAATTGGTGTGTGAAAGTGAAGTAGATAGGCAACAGCTCCTGGAATTTGCAGTGGTGTTGCAGTACTGGAGGAAAATGTCTTTGAAGCTGCATGCAGCAATACCTTTCAGATTGGAAAGTGGGCCCTGAAGCATTTAAATATAGCTGGAAAAAACTACTTGAATAAGTCTGATGAATGTGTGAATAAAGGCGTAGCTCCCCACACTCAGCAGTTTGTTGCTATCCTGCTGTAGTCTTAACTTTGTGTCAAGTTTATATTGCTGGCATTGCAGAAGAAAAATGGTTCATCTGTATCGAACGCATGAAAACCAAAGAAGAAATCTTGTTTCTTTTAAAGCCTGTTTGTACCAATATTTAAGAAATTTAACTCGTACTGACTTAGCTGTCTTTCAACAACAAAAATAGTATGGAGTTTTAAGCTTAAATAGTATGGCAGATTTTCACAGAACACACTTTAATCTTTCATCTCTTACTCTTTTTTGCTTTGTCTTTCATGCTAAGAATTTGAATAAATTCTTGGGATGTGCTCTGAATGAAGGCTTAAATTGTACATCCTGAGGAGGAATGCTTGTTTTTCTTCTAGTAAACATTAGAAATGAAGAACTGGCTGTCTGAATGTCATCTACATTTTCTTTACATTAGAGAATACATACATCTGTCTATGTTTTATAAAAATATATTTTTATAAAAATAAAGACAATTGTCTTTGTCTACCAATCATATCCCCCAGGTTGCTCCTAGCATGCTAAATGTATTTGCTTCTCATAGGTTGAATTCAGAGCGCGCCTCAAGCCTATTAATAAAGTCAACAGTGGGAGTGGTTGCAATTTTGTCAAATGAAGCTGAGTAAGGCTGAAAGCTGTTTGAAAGAGAGTATTGGTGTATGTGCTGATCATAATAAGTTGGGAAGAGAAAAAGCCGTCAGTTGCAAAGAATACACCTGGAAGAAGTAAATACTAACCTACAGTAAAACAATGAGTAAGAGGTCAGGTATCCTCCCTGCAGAGAAGGCCAGTGAATTGCTGACTCACTTGTTTGCAGTGCATTGCAATGTGATGTCATTCCAAAAAAGGCAACTGTTACAGGAATTCAGTCTGTAATGATGGAAGGTAATTATTTTGTTTTGCTTGATGTGAATGGTACCTCAGCTTCAGCACCAGTTCCTTTTAGAGGGCTGCAGTAATAATGAAAAAAAATGCTCAGACATTGAAGATACCGTAATGGCTGAAAGAAATGAGTGCTTTTCAGGGAGAGAAGATGGTACTAAGATGAATGATGCATAAGCAAATTTCATAAGACAGTGTGTGAAATTTACCTTTTTATGTGTTGGATATTTTGTGTGTGTGTGCTGCTTCCTAAAGAACAGTGTAACAGTGGAGAAATCAGATCTTCTGCCCTCTTTTCCAGTCTTGTGTTAAAAAGTGTCTGCTTAACTGGTGTTGTTTCCATCTTGTGAAAGGATAAGTCTTTTTTCCAGATTAAGGAAGGAGATTTTATTTCATCAGTGTGCTCTGTGCACTTCCTTCTCCCCCATTTTCCAGAGGGAATGAAATAGACTTGGGTATATGATACCTGTGTTTTCAGGAAATGACTTTGTTCCATCCATGTATGAGTCAAGCAGTGACTGTTAGATCCACCCTCCCTTGTGAAATTTATCAATGAAGAGATATGTCCGGAGCCCCTCACAAAACTGCGCTTAAATCTGTTCTAACCCTGTTTTTTAATCTGAAACAATGAAACATAGGAGCTAAAAGTACAGTGAGAGAGAGAATTAATCCTTTCCTCAATGCCCAAATCTTTGCTTTTTATTTGAAATTTGTTTGGTATGATCTGGATGAAGGGAAGAGACTGCAAAAGGATTATAGATCAATGTTAGTGTTCCCCTGATTGAATGATGCCATTGAAGCTTTGACATGCAAATTAGTTTTTTAAAAATTGTTCTCTAAATAGGACTGCATTAGCTAATTTTGCACCTTATAAATGCAGTAGTTTAGTCAATGGAAAAAGTTGATCTGATTCTGGAAAATGAGAGGAAGCATGTGTGTTTTAAATTTCACAACAGTGTTATGTTATGGTAGTGCTACCATGTTATATATGAGATCTTTGAAAGAAGATAATGCTGCAAAAAGGGGCATCCTTCACTTGGCATGTTGGTGTTTGCTAGCTGGGACAATGTTCCTGAGAAAGTGTAGAACTCAAATTGCTTCTCAATTCTGTACTTTGTTGATCTGGCCATATTATTTGGAGAAAAGTGAGGTGTACCTCCACATTGTAAATAGGGCAGAATATACTCCTGTATTTTTTATAATGCAAGGTGTTCGGTAATACTTGATTGTTCTTTCCCCCCTCTTTTCACTTCATAATAAGAATAAGCAAAACAGTAAGAATAAACAACAATGTTTCTTTATGTGGTTTGTTCTGGTTGATTTAGTTTGATTTTTAATAGGCTAGAGAATTTTAGCATGAAACTAATTGTAGCAAAGAGGTCTATTTAGCGCCAAACTGATAAGCAAAATCATATAAATGTAGTAGATACAGATGTCTAGGTTTGCAAAATGACACATGTAATAAGTGTTTCCATTGTGAAATTGGAATTTCACCTATTTTCCGAATTTTGGTAAGTTAAAATTGAGTATAAGTATGGAGCTTTTGACTGATATAAAAAAATTATGTTTTAATACTTGCCCTACTTTTGTATTGTGTTGAATTGTAAAGGAGCTCAGGAGCATTACTTTTCATCATAATGTAATTTTTTATTCTGTTTAATATCTCTTAAATCAGATTTTTGCTTATATTAACTTGGTGTTAATAATACAGTCCACACTGATTTATAGAATGTTACATCAAAACTAAAATTAACCATACATTAACTTGTGAGAAATGATCTGCATTGTGTTGTACTCCATGCAGAATTATTAGAGATCCTACCTCTTTATTTGGACCATAACTTAGCATTAGAGCGCTACTTTGAGCTAATTTTTTAGTAAGTTATTGTATGGCAAACTAAGTCTCTGTGGTCTTGAAATTTAGTTGTGTTTTTAAAACTGTGCATATTATTATCCACTTAGAAATTTATGAGTAAGAGTTATGCTTCAGATTTCTTTACTGTAGGTGGTTAAAATCAACTGGAAGGTTAAGCCAAGTGGCCACATCACACTTCATATTAAATTTTAGCAGTCACTGAACTAAATAATAGTGACTGAGTGGTCAGAATGGTGCTTATTTTGACAGAGTGTCTGATTCTTGTACAGCCTCTGCCAGTGTTACAATTGTTGTTGAAGAGCCATGTGTGTGAAGATTTTGTAGTAATTGATATTATTTACAGACATTTAGAGAAATAAAACTAAAAGAAGTCCAGATAAATGTTTCTTCCCACAATTTAAAAAAAAGTCAGTGAAGGATTTTCTGATCATTTTGAAATGTATTTGTTACAACTTTTGATATCCTGACTAGTCATCAGCATGGGTTTCTGAACATTTGGTACAGGGAGATCCAGATTTCACAGGCCTACCAGTGTAACATCTCTTTTGTGTGCCAGTTGGCAGTCCTAGAACTTGGAAAGGACTGCTTTTTGATGAGATGACAGTCCTACTTCTTCTTGCATGTCCTTTTCCATATGTAAACAGTTACTATTTGTTTCCTGCAGGAATAATGCAGCTAAGTGATAGTTCTTTGCTTCCTTCCTTACAATATGGGGAAATCTAGGATTTGCACCTAGGGCTTCATGGAGTGAGGTTTAACATCAATTTTGTGAGGTAGCAATTTTATGTGGTAACTGGAAGAAAGAGATGATTCTAAAACATTTTTGAGGATTTTTTGAGTGAGAAATGAATGTCATCAGGTCGCTGTAATATTTGGATAGCAAAGTTAGGAACGGTGACTTGCTACTGTTAGCAAAAAAGGATGCTGTTGTGTGTGGAGAAGTGTGTGTTGTGTCACAGAATTACAGTGCTGCACAGGCAGCATTGTAGGTGACAAAGGAGATGCAGTACTTAAATCACTTGGGGAAGCATTAAGACTTGCAGGACTTTTACAGGTGTGAACTTTATGTGAAAATGTACACTAAGCTGTGTATTGATGTTAAAGCTTTGTAGTAAATGCTTAAGCTGGTAGTGGGGGAAATCTTGATGGTTTTTGACCTATGCCAAATTTTACTTTGCAGCTTTAAAAAAGTCAGGTTTTGCTTTTTATTTCAATATTTTGTCCTCTTTTTTTTTTTTTTTCTCTGAAAGTGTGTACTTGGAAAGGTCAATGGATAAGGAATTATGTGAGTCCTAGCAAAAAGAATGCTGTAACTCTAGATATTTGGCATGGTGTTGGGGTTCTGTGGGGTTGTGCAATAAGGGCGCATGGAAAAAAAAATGGATTCAGCTCCTTGAACAGGACATCATGCTTAGACAGTGTGAAGTATGCACAAAGAACATTTTAAAAATCCTCTTAACAATTTAAGTGTTTTTGAATGTGTGTGCCTAATTTTGTGTAAAATTACTTTGTATAAGTGGGGAGAAATGCTGTATATTAGATCATTGCTTTCACTGGCCGTTCTCACTGTAATTTTGGAGTGCAGGAAGATGAGAGCTAGCTTTGTAACAAAGATGACCTTTAGGTCTGCATGAGTAATAAATCAAATATTTGCTTTTAGGAGATGAAAAGGATATCATATTCACCTAGGGTATGGAGGTAGGCTGGGCTGCTGAACTGTGCTAACTTCAGTCTTTCTTGCCTGGTAATGTGGGTGCTTTATTGGGGGAGACCTGATAACCGTGCACTTCAGCTACAGTGGCACTGCTCAG